CTGATAAGCAAGCCACAGCCGACATCGAACGCCAAATTCACGGCGTTGGGTTTGCCAAACCGGCGACAATGGATCCCTGTCGCCCTCAGAGACCAGCACAAAAGCGATTGCTCGCCAAACTCACAGCCCCAATTGTCAAGACACTGGAAGGGCAATACCGTCGAAGAGACGATGCCATCGAAGCGGTGTCTGCGTACTGTCTTGTGCAAGAAGGATGTACGGTGCGCCGGTCCCAGCATAGGCCAGCAGAGGGCCCACATCCTTCTTCGTCAGGCTACCCACGAAAAAGCACCCCTTTATACGAAGCTACACTGTCCGTATTTGTTGCTGACAAGGAAGAGCGGCCAAGGCGATGCTTCGTATGTATTGGTCAAGCCTTGTATCTGCCTACGGATGATGAACAGCGGTTGAACGAACTTATGCACGAGTTCTACACCTCTAATGACTTGATCAAACACTTCAAACGGAAGCACCTTGACAAAATCGCAGGCTGCGATCAGGTAGACTGCAAGGTGTGCGACATGACTCTCAACAACAAGATGCATTTTCAGCGTCATGCCCGCGACATTCACGGGACTGTAATATGAGCGTATGCCATGTCCCTTACAGCAATTTTGTGTTGACAACTTGACACATCAGCGCTATTCAAGGGATTACCCAGCAGACCTCTACATGCGCAGGCACCTCTCTCAAATTCGAACGCATCGGACGAAAGCATGACAGAATGCAGTGTTTGATGCCCTCAGCCATCACGTGCACGCGCAGGATCAAACTACGAGCGTTGACGGCGGCGTGTCATGACACCTCGACTCATGCCTGATAACATACTGTAAGGCAGATGGAATAAGGTCACTTCGATATCGCGCCACTTCAAATGCGTACCTGGGCACATGTTGCAGCGTGATGTCTCGCCGCCACAGGAGCATGGACTAGGCAACGAGTACCACAATTGACTTGCGGGAGGGGTAAGAATTGATAGTCGACTTAAAAGAGAGACAATTCAAATACTACCACAAAGCTATTCTCGTTCATGACAATTGTCGCACAAACCGGGGGGGTGAGCATCGACTATCCATACACAAAATCGAAACACAGATTAAATCGAGAATATACCGCTCATCCTATTTCTTGATGGCTAGAACGAAGAGTTGGCTTCTTCAACCTCATCCTGTTTCACATTGATCTTGCTATTTGAGCGGCTCACGAATTGTCCGACAAGATCGCCTGGGAAATCGCCTCCTTCATACACGAGATCACGAAATATCTTTTTCGACCACAGGCTGTCAAGATTTATCTTAACGACTCGAAGGATAGCATCCCTGATCTGTTGACCCGATTGGTTGATTGATTCGTACGTCTCTTTGATACAGCCTACGAAAGATTCGCTCACCCAAAGCTCTTCAAGCTTTGGTTTGAGTCTTTCGACGGCAAATCTCTTCAGTTCTGGCATCAAGAAGAAATCTGCCAAGACATAGACTTGCACGTGCTTCGTCAATTCATCGGCGTCATCTGTGCAAAGATTAGCACTGGTCTAGGTTCGAATTACTGAGTAGCCACCTTGCGCTTCGATCGATTCGACTTCTTCGGAATAATTGTTGGTGTACATGAACTCGAAGACTCTCCAGTACGCATGTGCACTTCCTTCGCGGAATTGAAACGTCTTGCTCTCGCTTTCTTGGAAGTTGCCCTTGAGGGCTTTTTTGAAGTATGGGCTGTGAGCCGCTAGGACTAAGCCGTGGGCCGGCAACTCGAACTCGCCGATACGAATTTTGACGTCGGCATGGTCTGTTTTATTGAAAAGCCTTGTATGTCATAGTTAGTTCTCATCCTGAGTTGGTCATACATCCAAGATGTTTACTCTGCAATCTCCCTAAGGAGAGTCTTGGACTCGGCCATCCGTTTCACTTTCTTACCCATGGAAGCTATGATGAGGTTAATC